CTCACGATTTATAGTACACTTACGATCACTTTTTTTGTCATAAGATTCCTTTTGTGTTGTTTTCCTGTAAACAACTTGATGTTTTGATCAATATTTGAGACGCTTTATCGTTTTTGTAACAAAAGACAACAATTTGTATTAGGATTAAACGTTATTGTAGGCGGAGGATTGATTTTATTAACGAAGAATAGTTGAGGGGATTTTTTTATTAAAATCCCTAAAAATAATCATGAATTTTTGTTTTTAAATATTTTAATACCGCTTTTGACTCGGATAAAAAAAATTTTGTATTATTGAAAAGAAAATAAGATATTTTCAAATATTTTCTATATTTTTTAAATATTCTCTATTTAATTACCACACATTCATTATTTCCATATATTTGTTATTAAGAATTTTTAATAATATTTACTAATTTTTATTAGGAAATAAATTTCTTAAAACTCTCTTAGGATGACACCTAGGATTTTCACCTAATGTCTCCTCTATTAATATATAGAGGATATAACATACCCATAACATACCCTAGATTATAATTAGGTAACTAACATTGATCATACCTAGAATGACTATTTTATCCTTAATCTATTGTTTAGTTTTTATCTTTAAAAATAAAATAGAAAGAAAAGCACAAAAGAGAAAACCTCTTTTTCTTTCAACGCTTTCTCTTTTTTTTTTTAACGTTTTTCTTCTTTAATCGACATCATCAACAAGCGGTGGCCGCTTCTGCTTCTTTATTCAATTTCGCAATTACGTGTTCTTAACTAGTTGCCATAGATCGTAATCACCAATCATGAATTAAGATGGTATTCGATGGAGATCGACATAGTTGATTATAATCGAAAATCATAATAGGTATTTATAGTTCGAAAAGAGTTAACTACTTAGATGCCTATGGTTCGAAAATAGTTAACTATTTAATTTGCTGACTATGGTTCAAAAATAGCGAACTATGGAGCAACATCACTATAATCACTATGGTTTCAAAATAGTTATCTAGTTGCTGCATATGGTTCGAAAATAAATAACAGTTAACTATTTACAGGTCATGGCTCGAAAATAGTTAACTATTTACTGCCATGGTTCAAAAATAATGAACTATGGAGCGACATCACTATGGTTCTAAAATAGTTAACTACTTGCTGTCTATGGTTCGAAAATAGTTAACTATTTACTGGCCATGGTCCGAAAATAGTGAACTATGAAACAACATCAGTATGATTATAAAATAGTTAACTATTTGCTGGCTCAATAGTTAAATCATGTTGAGTTATAACATCCGGTAGTATACAACTATGTTTGATGAACAAGATATGTAGCGTATTAAAGCGAAGAAATATTTTAGGG